AAGATGCCGAAAACCCTTAGCAGGATGCAGCGCACCCTTCATGCGACTCGCCGAATATCTCACGGCGCTTCGCGCTTGGCGATGTGAGAGCCTGGTCCGGTGAGAACCCGGCGTGCTCCGTCCCGGCTTTGTAGGGATGCGAGGCCAATGGTCTAACGACTACGGCATGCACATAAGTACACCCCCCCCTCCCCCCCTCCCCCCCTCCCCATCCCCCTCTACTACCACTTGAATTTGCTATCTCCACCGCTTCCTTCACGGCGCATTTGATGAATCAGCTGCCGGCTGTTGGAGCCGGAGATGACTCTCATCAAGTTGAAGGAGCAGGAGGGGGACCCGCAGTCTGTAGTGAACCAGCTCAGGGCCTTGATGGAGTACTTTAAGAGGCTGGTGGAAGACGAAGGGCTGGTGAAGCGCTTCTGGGGACATGTGAGGATGACACAAGAGCACAAAAAAGAGCACAAAACAGCAACACAGTTGCATTGAGCAATGATCATTTGAACATGGCCTGGTTTATGATTGGACTCCATCATGCATGTTGTGGTCGTTTTTTTTCGTTTATTGTAGAAAGGTGTACAATAGACTTGTGCCAGAATATGGGACACGTGGAGACACGACAAGGCGGCCTCAAAAATGACACCCGCCGCACCAAACGTCTGCTATTCTCACCGCCACCGCCTTTGGTACACTGCACTACGAAAGTACAATTTTGCTCTACGAAAACGGTACCGGCACCAAGCGTGCTGGGTCTCGCGTTGAGGATGCGTAACAATCCCCCAAAGAATCGAAGAATAGATTGTAGCAACAGTAATTGGAAGACATGTCGCTTGTTATGGCATATTTGAACTATGGCTGTATTGTTACCGTGCTAGTTTTGCCAGGAAGGAGGGGGTCGATGTTTTTCCAGGAAAGATTCTTGCGTACTGCATTTCACAATACAACCATCGCCAGAATTCAAACAAGCCTAGCCAATCTCCTCCAACCTCCCCCCCCCCCCCCC